TTCCCGGGGACCCGCCGTCCGCTGGGGCCTGGTGATGAAAGCCTCCCCGAGGCCCATCAGGCCCAGCAGCGACCAAGAGGCTCGACCCTCGAACCTCGGCCTGCCAAATGGGGTCCGAGTAGCTGGGGTCCGAAGATCACGCCAAATCGCCGATACATCGGCGATGCATCGGCGACGTCGGGCGCAACTACATCGGCGACCACGACGTGGAAAAAATCGGGCTCACAATCGAGCCGCGTCGCCGATGCATCGGCGACTGCGGCGCGATCCTCCGATCACATCCGCTCGAACCCCGAGTGAAGGCCGCCTGGATGCTCGGGCTCGCAGCCTTTCAGGGGCTATGGCCTCTGGCAGGTTCAGGCCATGCGTATTTTTGCGCTGGATCCTGACACCGCGCGGATCGTTCGACCCTGAACGATCGCGGCTTTCGGATCGCGCGGGCCAATCGGTATCAGCCGACTCGGAGCCACTGGCGGCGTTCCACCTTGAACGCCCGCGCTGGGGCCGCAGACGGGCCGACACGGCGCGAACCGCCCGCATTCTCGGCGGCGCGCCGAGGCTGGGAGGCGAGAGAGAGGGGGGGCAGCCCTTCTCAGGCGGCGGGGCTCCTCAGAAGCCCCCGAGCCCTGTGAGAGGCCCCCTTGAGGAGATCACTCATCGCGTTGGGAGGAAGGGGTTGGGAGGATGGAGGGCATGAGCAGTGGCACTCGGATGCAATGAGCGACACCTTGGGCCGCCTACGGGCAAGGATATCCTCATATCTCCCAACCCCATCCTCCCAACCCGAACATTATCTTCCTGACCCCTGACGCTTCGGAGAGAGCTCAGAGAGCCTCTCAGAAGGCCAGAGCCCTTCTGAGCCTTGAATGGGCCCGCCCCCTCTCACTGGTGGCCTGAGGGGGGCACGAACCTCGGCTCTCCGGGGCCGTTTGGGGACGCTCGCGGCGAGGAGCAGCTGCTGGCGAACACCCCGAGGCCGGAGAGCCTCCCAGAGCCGACGAGAGCTCCCGGAAAAAAAACTTCCGAGGACTCGCCCCCGAGAGCTTTTCTGCCTGCCCCCCCTGGGGCGCGAGATCCTGTCGCAGACAGAGGCCTCCTGGATGGGCTCCGAGAAGGTGGGCTCGGAAGTCGCGCCGCATCCCCGATGCGTCGCCAATGCATCGGCGATGCATCCGGTGATGCATCGGCGACGTCGGCGATGCATTGCTGACGTCGGCGTGGATGACATCGGGCTTCACGTCGAGCTGCACTGCCGATGCATCGGCGATGCGGCGCGATCCTCCGACCACATCTGCTCCGACCCCATCTGGGATGCCTAAAGAGATCGAGGACGCACTGACACGGGCCAATGCAAACCCGGGTCAGTCAGGCTTTGCAAGATCCTGCAGGATCCTGCAAGATCTTGCGCGCTAGCCCAAATCAGTGTACCCCTGGCTCTGCAGGGTCCGGCAAAATCTGGCGCTCTGGCCGACCCCCGTTCCCAGAGATCCGATGTGGTGATTTTTTCAAAACGGGGTTCCCAGAAATCTCGACCCATTCGACATAGGACCAATTTTCATCCGGAGTCATTTTTGACGGTCCCGGGGCCCGGCGAGGGCCCCTCGAAGCCGAACATTGCGAAACATCTCCGCCTGGATTTTTTCAATACGCTGGATATCTCTGGCCTTGCATTGGCCCCCGCCTCAATAGAAGAAGAACAACGTGCAGATCCAAGAGCTCCGCGCGGAGCGCCAAACAAAAATTATGCTCACGGCGTTTCCTCTTCCTCGACTCCAGGCTCCCGAAGAGAGAGCGGGAGCGAGCGAGCCGGAGGGAGGCATCGGCCGCCGAGCCGGCCTGCAGCTCCCAGCGGCGCGCCCGGCGCACCCGTCCGGCCGCCGCCGCCGGCCGGGGCCTCGCCCGCGGCTCCGCCGTGCGGGGCTCGCGGCGGGGCGGCCCCTGCGCGGGAGCGGTCGGCATCGGATCCCATAGAGGGTGCGCCGGAGGTCTGGCCACACGCAGGGGGCGACCCCGGGCAGGAGTTCGGTGGCAACCCATGGGAGCCTCCCGTCCCATCTTGTCGGCTCTTGCGAATCGACGCGAATCGACGCTCAAAATCGGCGCTATCTCATCAACTCTCAGACGCTAATCGACGCACAAGGACATGCTAGTAAAATGTGTCCTCCTCGGAGGCGTGCGCCCGACCCGAACATATAGCACAACCGTCTTGTAATATATCGTTTCCTGAGCGGTGCGGCCAGAAAGAGCCCGCCACGGCGCATGTACTATGAGATTTCTCGGTGCGCGCGTCGCCCCCTGGGGGGGGGGGGGGGGCGACACGCACATGGTATTAGCATGTTGGGGTGCGCTGGAGATCTGGCCACACGCAAGCGTGACCCTGGGCAAGAGTCCCTGAGATCCTGGCGGCTCAATCGTTTCGAGCCGGGCGCTTCCGCCTATAACTTCGGGCCCCGGGTCTCTCACAGGTCGACCCGCTGGAAAGACGGCGCAGAGAGATAGAATCCGGGGCTCCAGTCGTGTTTCTCACGATGTCTCAACTTTTTCGAGATCTCAGTGGAGTCACCCTGGGCAAGAGTGGGGGGCGCGGGGGGAGGGCCAAACCCAAGCGCGCAGGCCGCTGCTATCGCATCGGATGCAGCTATCGGCGGAACACAGCGGACCCGCACCAGAGGTCACTCTGGCGAAAGATCACTCTCACGTGTAGTACAACAATCCGAAGAGGCAGAGGTTCCGATGCCGCTGCTCGTCCTGGGGACCCTCGTCGCCACCGATGGATTCACCTCGAAATTCTGGTCCGAACGCACCATGGAAGAAGTCCAGTGGAGCAACAGGATGGGCATTTATTTGTTTCCCCTGCCTTTCTTCTTCGATCCTGGAGTTTTTCCTCGAGTTGAGTTCGGCCCTCGTGAGCTGTTTTTCTGGGCCCTGGGGGGCAATCGAGCATGGATCAAGGACTCAAAGCTACCCCGCGGAAGGAGGTCGGAAGCTCTGGGGCCGCGGATTGGCAAATCGTATGGGAGGATGCCTGGGGAGCGGTCGGCATCGAATCCCAGGTGCGCCGAAGAGGAGTTCCAGGCAGAAGGGGGTTGGTGCACCCTGGCCAGAGGCGTGTGCGCGGACGATGGGGTGCCAGCGGGCGTCCCGAGAAAAGGAGAGGGCCGTGCAGTCTGGGAGATGGCTTGAGCGACGATCAGAGACGGGTCTTGCGGGGCGGCTTACGCGGGCCGCCAGCGCGGCACGCTACATTGGAGACGAGGGCGCTCACGCGCGAACTTACGCGGGCAGCTTACGCGCGAATGTCGGCGCCGACGACCCCGTTGTTTGGCGTCGCTCACATGACCCTGGTCATGACATCCACGCAATCCTAGTCCTCACCTCCCTCTTGGACGCCTTCGAGGATCGACACATCGGATCAGATCGGAACGTGCGTTGGATCGGGTCCGCATCAGCGCCGAGTCGAACGCGAGTCGGATCGGCTGCGCCAGGACGCACGACAACGACCTGCGGCCCACCCAAATCTCTATCCAACGTCGTGAAAAGATACGGCGGTCTCTCGCCATCTTACCAGCCTCGATCTTAACCTTACCCCCACGGTTGGCAAGCCCAAATGCGATGGCAATCTTAGGCATGCACCCTCGGAAACCGAGGGAAACCCTTACGATCGGCATCGAGATCGGGTGATGCCAATCACAGGGATAAGGGGATGCTCCAGGCTGGCATGCCAACCACTGCCGCGAGGCCCCTCCTGGAAGAAGGTTAGACGAAAGGCTGGCGCGGAGCCCCCCGAACATGCGTTCGGCTACAGGCAAGAGGAATTAACCCCACGGTACGTGGCTTTAGGTACGCGCGGGGGCGGGGGGGCAAACCCAAGCGCGCAAGCCGCTGCTATCGCATCGATGTCAGCGATCGGGGGACCCCAGCGTACCCGCACCAAAGGTCACTCCAGCGAAAGGTCAATCTCACATGTAGTCGACACGTTCACGGATGCCCCGTGGGGGATAGAAACGACGCTAGGCCACCGCCCTGGGCCCCGCCCCGCTGCCAGAGAGGGAGCCTGGCGCACGCCAGCCGCGTCTGAGAATGACGTCTCTTGCTCGCGCCGCACGACCAAGCAGCACACGCACACAACATGTCACGGTCCCCGCGCGCTGTGTGATATATATATATATAGAAAGAGAGAAAGATAGAGAGAGATAAATATGTCTATACACGTACATGTGTTTGAAACATATGCGCGCTGCAGGGCCTCCGATGTCATGATTCGATGCTACGGGGTCCTCCGAACTCACGGCCCCCCCCCCGGGACTGGCGTCTCATCCTGGAGGCCGGAAGACTGCAAAGCAGCTTCGCCTTGACTTGCTCAAGGACGTCGGAGGTATGGCCCTCCTGGAGAGCGAACGGGGAACAAGAAGTGCTGCACGGCGTAGCCGACTCCTCTTCGCCGCGCGGGCTGTGAGGCGATCTGCTCGCAGCAGCCGGCGCGCGCGGGGGCGCCCCGTCCTCGAGTCGGCTACACGCAAGAGGGACCCTCGGCAAGAGTGACCTCTGGTGGCTCGGCTTCGAGGTGGGGCGCGGGGGCGTCAAAGCCAACAGCGCCAGCCGCTGCTGCCGCAGCGCATTCAGAGCTCGGGAGACCCCAGCGGGCCCGCACCAAAGGTCACTCCGTCGAAGATTCACTCCTGCGCGTGGCAGATCTGACAAAAAAAATGCGCGCCCAGGCGCGCACCGGCCGCGGCGGCGGCCAGGGTCGGCTCGCAGAGGTGGCCCGGTCTGCGGGCCCTCGGCGAGCTGGCCGACATGTGCGCTGCACGGCCGAGCCCGCGGCCACGCCAAAGGGGGGGGGCCGCCCAGTGAGGCCCCGCGAGCCGGGAACAAACCATCGGGTGCCCCCCGATGCCAGTGCGACGACGCGGGCCAGCGGAGGCGGCCCAGGCGCGACCAGGGCAGACCCGCACCGCATCGCCGATGCACCACGGCGGTGCTTCGGCGACGTCGGGACGTCAGAAGGCGTCCTGCAGAGAGCGCCGCGCCGCGGGTGCATCCACGGTGCAGCGCCACCCTCCGACCACCACGTCTGCTCCGCCCTCGCTGCGGCGGCGGGCATTCAGGAAAAGCCGGCGAAGCCGGCGAGGCCCGCAACCGCAGCTCCGCCGCGCCAACCCCTCGCCGGCAACGGCCCGAGCAGGTCGTTCTCCTCCTCCGCGATGGCGCTGTCGAAGCTGTCGCTTCTCTCGCTCGCTCCCGGGCGGTCCAGGGCGGGGCAGCCGCCGGGCACGTCGGGGTCCTCCCCGGCGTCCGTGGAGCCCAGGGGCTCCATGGGCCCGCCGCAGAAGCTGCAGGCCGCGTCGCGGCCGCTGCAGAGGTCCAGGAGCTCGCTGCGGCCCTCGCGGGGGGGATCAGACAATTACAGACAGCGCTGCTCCACGGACCTCTCCTGGGGCGCGTTCTGACCAGGATCTCGAGGCGAATGCAGCCGTGGCGACGAGGAAGGGTAGGGGCATCGGCACGGCTGCTTCGCGTTGCGATGTCGCGGGCGTGGGTTTCTGACGCCGCGTGGATCGCTCAACCTTGAACGATCGCGGCTCCCCGGTGCGCAGATCGCTCGACATCGGCCAACTCTGGGCCACTGGCGGCGTTCAACCTTGATCGCCCGCGCTTGCAGTCGGACTTGATTGGAGAGGACACGCGAGAGGACACGAGACCTGTCCGAAGGCTGCATTGCCATAGGAATGTAAAAGGCACGGGTCTCTAAGGACAGGACACAAGGGTACCCTTGACTTGGCAGGGTCGACCTGCTAATCAAGGCCGACTGTAGGTCGCCGCCGCGCCAACGCGGCGCAAATCTGCTGTATCTTTCCGCTTAAAGTCCAGGAGCTCGCCGCGGCCCTCGGAGGCGGCCCCACCGCTGTCGAGGCTGTCCCTGCGCAGGCCGGCGTCCTCCGAGCAGGAGGTCGACTGCAGCATGGATTTACCCCAAAGTTGGCATGTTCGTCGGATCTGCGAAAAGTGCGCAGACGCAGGCTGTTCGTAGATCTACGAACACCCTGCGCCGTGCGCAGTTCTCTTGCGGATCCGACGAACAGTGAAATCCCAGGGCAAATAAATAATGCAACCGTGATCGGTCTTCAGTCTTGGGCCCCCCCCCCGACGGCGGCGGCTGCGGAGGGGGGCGCGCCGGAGGCGGTCGAGCCCATGGCGCTCGACGGCCCCGTGGTGGCGTCCCCTCCTGGCGGTGTCGGCGACGTCCTTGACGCTTCATGGGCAGCCGCGGCGCGGCCGCAGCGGACGCAGGAGGCGGCTGGAGCGACGCGCACGGGCGGCGGCCCGTTCGCCGCGGAGGCCGCGCCTGCAGCGCTGCTTGCGGCCGCGCCTGACGATCCGGGTACAGCAGGAGCCCGACCACAAGAAACATTCTACAGGAAACCAGACCCTGAGACCCCAGGGCGTCCATTGATTTTCGGTGTGGGAGCGTCACGCTTTCCGTAGCAAAACCATCGAAACCCAAGACACCCAGGGCACCCTGGAGGCAAGCAGGGTGTTTCTTGGCATGGGTCTCCACTGTACGGCGGAGCTTGTGGCGCGGTGCTGCTGGCGCGGCGGCGCAGGAGCTCGCGGCAGCGGCGGCGTGGTTTGAGAAGGAGCTCAAGAGGCCCCTCCCCCAGGCGGTCCAGGCAGTGGTCATGGCTCCGCGGGAGCGTTGTCGCGCTGACGTCCGTGGCAGTGGCATTCCGACCTCGTCGTGGGGGAGCCGTTCGAGACTGGGGCGGCGGCTGCGGCGGCGTCTGGTTCGGCGGGGGGAGGGCGATGCGGCGGCCGCGCAGTCCCGCGGGACTCTTCCCTTTTGGCCTGTCCTAACTAACTACCTCCTCCTCCTCCTCCTCCTCCTCCTCCTCCTCCTCCTCCTCCTCCTCCTCGGTCCCCTGCCCGAGTCCTCGGAGGAGCAGTCGCTGAGCAGCTCCGAGGGCGGGGCGGAGGCCTGCGAGGCCTGCGAGGCGGGAGCCGAGGCCCGCGGCTCGAGCGGCGGGAGCTCCAGGAGCACCGCCCGCACGTTGAAGGGCAGCCTTCGGCGGCGGCGCGCGGGGGCCTCCCACCCCCGAGACCCGGCCGGATTCGGCGTGGACGCGGCGCAGATTCGACACGGATCCGACACGGATCCAACGAGTCCGACATGGGTTCGGCACGGGTTCGCCGCGGGCAGGGCCGCGACGGGACAGACAAGGTCCCCCGAGGATGCGGCACGAGGAGGGGCGGGGCCTGGAGATCCGGGCGACTCCACTTCTTCGAGCTGGGCGCTGTCGCCCAGCTTCGGGCCCCGGGGCCCTCATAGGTGGATCTGGCCTGATGAACAGCGGTGCAGAAACATGGGGTCTGGGGCTCCGGGCGAGATTCTTCACGAGGTCTCTCAGCTTGTTCGGAACGTCGGATCTCAGGGAAGGCCACCTTCCGGGGGGGGCGGAAAGGGTATGGTAGCAAAAGGTGGGGCCGAGAATCAGCTCACGTAGCTGGTTTTCCTGGCGCCTCCTGGCGCCGCCGGGAGGCGGGCGGAAACCAGCTGCCTGGAGCAGATGTCGTAACCCCACCTTTCGCTATCCTGCCAGTACGTCCGGCCCGAATCTTGTTGGCCCCTGCAAATCGACGCTATCCAACGCGAGTCGACACTACGTCGACGTCAAATCGACGCTAGATCGGCGCGGTCTCATCGATCACCAGGCGCAAGCCGACGCTGAGGCAATGCAAGAGCGGGATTGCGAGGGTACACGAGGCGCGCATGATTTGCTACAGTCGGACCTGGGCCAGAAGAACATGCCTCAAGAACATGAGACCCTCCGTCGGCCAACACAGACAAGACATCCAAGGGTACCCTCCCCAGGATGCACACGAACATCCAGCAGACACGAAGAGCACTAGGGGCACCCTCTCCGAACCGACCTCGATCTGCTACCTCCGGTCCGAGTGTGCCGCAGCAGCCTGTGCAGCCACGCGATGTCGGCGGGCACCAGGTCCTGGGCGTCCTCCTCCTGCCGGCGGCGCGCCCGCATCGGGGAACGGGGCAGAGGGGGCACGCCTTCTCGGAAGGCTCAGGAGGTCTACCCGGCCTGCCGTCGGGGAGACGTAAGGCTCGGGTTTGGGGGACTCGGGTTGGCGAGACGGGAGCATCATGAAAACGACGAGACCCAGTCTAGAATTTGACGCGAACTCCCAGTGGAAACATCTCACGAAAACTGGACCGCCAAAATCCAGGACGCGCTCGTCAAAAGTCGCTGGCAAACCCGAGCTCGATTCTGGGGGGCTTTCGCGAGGCCTTCCCCACGAGGCCACTCGAAAGCTTCTCGGGCTCGGCCGGAGGGCCTCTGAGCCTCCTCTGAAAAGAGGCCTGCGCTCTTCCCATGAGATCCGACGCCTCGAAAACAAATTGAGACATCGTGAGAAATCACGACTGGAGCCCCGGACCCCATCTTTCTGCGCCATTTCTCGGGCGGGCGGCATTGGGGGATGGACTCGTCGAATCTCTCGTCGGATCCCATGTCTAATCCGCGTCGAATCCACGCCGAATCCGCGTCGAGTCCGCATCGAGCCCGCGACGGGAGCAAAAGAAGACACCAACTTGGGGAACAGGCGAGCCCCCCCCAAAGATGCAACGTAAAACCATCCTGGCAGAGGCACTTGAACAGCAGGTCGGCCTCGTCCCTGTCGATGCCCAGAGGGCGGGCCAGCGCACGGAAGTCGAAGCGGCCCACGCGGCTGGGTGCCCCCACCCCAGCCAGGCCGAGCGCGCACCGGAAGAGGGCCCCGGCGTCCCGGCAGTCGGGACGAGCGTGGGTGCCGCGGAGCAGGGCCAGGCGCCGGAAAAATCTGGCCTTGGGCGCGGACTGAATGAGAGGGCGAGAGAGCCCCCCCCCCATCACGGGCCCTAAAGGCCCCCTTTGGGGGCCCTTTTCGGACCCTAAACGTGCCTCCGTTACGGGCGAGACGGGTGCCCTTCTCAGGCCCTAAAGGACCCCTCTGGGGCCCTACAGGGCCCCTTTTCGGCAGACCTCGCTGCCCCCCCGTTTATCGCCCCCTCTTTAATTCGCGCGCCCCCCAGTGGCCATGCACGACGAGGACTCTGGGTCGACCTCGAACAGGGACAAGCGGTCCCCAAGGCCAGGGTTCAAGGCGATCCAGTAGTCGGAGGGCTGGCCCAGGCAGTTGAGTATCCTGCAGGCCTTGGAGAAGTGCTCGAAGTCGACCAGCCTCTTGCCCCCCAGCAGCTGCCTCCAGCCGCAGGTCGTCGAACCGAACACGCTCGCGATACGCCTTCGGAGCATCCGCGCGCACGCCCTTTCGGGCGGCTCTGTGAGCGTCCCCAGCGCAATGTACTCGATGGCGTCCCTGGCCAGAGACACCTCCTGTGGCTGCACCTCCAAGACTGCTGCGCCGAGTCGCTTACAAAAGAAGTCGATCAGTGGCCAAGACTTCTCCCGTGCTGCGTAGTGCTCTACGGTCTCGAGGCGAAGCTCGCAAATATGCGGCATGAGCTCCCCAGGGATGAGGGGATCGCGCACGCCCACGCATACAAGAACCTCGATATGGCGGTGGCCAAGCCGCCCAGGCTCCTTGAACAGATTGCGGATCCTGACCACCTCGAACAACCTCTTCACCGACTCGAGTCCTGATCCGCCACCGTACCCCTGGCACGCACAGTCATCGTCACCGTGCCCACACAGCGAACACTGGACACGGGGCTGCTCTGGCCGCGGCGAGCCTCGGCCACGAAGAAGTCCCCCGACCTAGATCTACGGAACGGCCCCAGATTCAGAGCCCCTCCTGAGCCTGGCGTCGTCCTTGTTCCAGCGTCTTGACTGTAGCGAGGGGCCCCGAGCCCGCTTGGAAGGCCCTCCGCACCAAAATGCCACAAGGGCCACGAGATCCACAAGGGCCTCGCGCCCTCCACTCACGTGCGCTTCCCGGACGCTCTCAGGGCGCTCTGGCGTTCGCTCGGGGGGGCTCGCCGCGCGACCCTCCTGGAGACCCAGGGGCCTGGGTTGGGAGACCACGCCCCGCAGCACGGCCCAAGATGTACGGTCAGGAACCTGTATACTCTGTGTCCCTCAATAGTTTTGGGGCCCCAGACTACAGGTACCCCCCGGACTACAAGTACCCCTCCCCCGGACTACAGGTACCCCCCCCCGGACTACAGATACCCCCCCCGGGACTACAGGTCCCCCCCCCCCGGACTACAAGTACCCCCCCCGGGACTACAGGCCCCCCCCCGGACTACAGGTACCCCCCCCCGGACTACAGGCACCCCCCCCCCGGACTACAGGTACCCCCCTAGCCCCCGGAACTACAGGCCCCCCCCGCGTTCGCTACTTAGTCTCTGGAAGCCAAAGCGGCCCGCCAAGATGCGTCCGCACGTTTTCACTTAGGCGTGCTAAGAAATTCGCCATCGTTGGGCCAGCGTGTGCGCGTGCGTGTGAGTCTGTGCGTGCATGCGCGCGTGCGCGCGGGCGTGTCGTGAGCAACGATGCGCGTGAGGTCCCGCGCGCGTAAGAACTAAACACCCGCGTGCGTGGAACCACGCGTGCTTTGAGGCACGACCATATGCCCCCCCCCCCGACTACAAGTACCCCATGCGCGCCCCCCCCCGGACTACAGGTACCCCCCCCGGGGTACCCCCCCCCCCGGACTACAAGTAACCCCCCCCCCCGGACTACAGGTACCCCTCCCCAGACTACAAGTACCCCCCCCCCCCGGACTATAGGCCCCCCCCCCGGACTACAGGTACCCCCAAAACTATTGAGGGACACAGAGTAAGGCACGAGGTTCGGCTGTTGCTGGAAGTGCCCCTCGCCCAAGGCCCCAGGGTTCTCGGGATGGCCCAGACGGCCTCCAGAGCACCCCTCACGAGGCCCAGAGGGCCCCAGGGGCTTCAAGATGTCATGTTGCATCCTCGGGGGACTTTGTCTTTCCAATCGCGGCCCTATCCGCGTCGAATCCGTGTCGGCCTAGTCGGATCCCGTGTCGAATCCGTGTCGAATCCGCGTCGAGTCCACGTCAAATCCGCGTCGAGTTCGCATCGAGCCCGCGTCGGGCACAAGAAAAACCACAAATTTTGAGGGACAGGCGAGGTCCCCCAACGATGCAACGGAAAGTGTCGCGGCGAAGCGTGGTGGGCCGAAACCAGCGGCGCCACACGCTAAGCCTAAATTCCTGACCGTAAGAACCATCGTCAGAATTAGCACCCCTGCAAGCTGTGCCTTTCAGTGAACGCACTCGGGGAAGGAATCGAACAGGGCAGGATTGTCAAGTAACTAGTAAACGCCAGGGGCCGTTGAGCGAACGCCAATAATGGGGGTCGGGGTGATCCTTTCTGCTTTGGCACGAGGGCCCCAGAGTGCCGTCTTTGGGCCCCCGCGCTAACCCCGATGCGTCCAGTTCTCGCCTCCTCGGCCTCACTCTGGCAGCCGAGGTGCTCCGAGAGGCCCGCCAAGAGAGAGCCCCGGGAGAGCCCGCACGGCACGCAAGAAGGGGCCGAGCGGCCCCCAGGAGGGGCCCGAAGAGGAGGACAGCGAAGGGGAGCCCCAGGAACGTATGGCTGGAGATCCGCTTCAGGCCCCTCGAGAAGCCACCCCGAGAAACCCCCAACGGGGCCAGCAAGCCCCGAAGAAGCCCTGATCCTTGGAAGCCGCCATGTTCCCACGGATCCTCTCAGGAGCCCTCCGGTCAAACCTTTCCAAGAATATGGTTGGGAATGCATTTTGGCCGTCGATCGTTGCAACCAGGCGTTCACCCGCAACCCAAGCATGGTGGCGGGATGGGCCGAAGGCCGCTGGATCCGCCGCCACCCTGTCGATTCATCGCAGGGGTGCCTGGCGTGCTAGACCTCTCGGTTTTGGTTTTGGCTCTTTTTCCTAAAGAACTCCCCCTGGGGTTTCGGCCCGTCCCGCCGGGGTCCCGGGAGGCTCTTCCAGGACCACAAACTCCACGAAAAATCCTCCCTGAAACGGCCGTTGCGCTCGGGACATCCTCAAAAAATCGCGAAGATGGCCCAAGATGGCCTCCAAGTCCGCCCAAGATGGTCCAAGAAGGCCCAAGAGAGTCCAAGACGGCCCAAGACAGCCCAGAGAGGCCCCCCAGAGGCCTCCCAGACGGCCCAAGAGGCCTCCAAGAGGTCCTCCAGGAGGGTCCGAAGAGGCCCAAATCATTGCTTTCCCTTAGGTTTTTGAAGGATTTTGGAATTTGCTTCTTCTCCGCATTCCGACGGCTCAAGACGGCCCAAGAGGCCCCCAAGATCGCCAAAGACCCCCCAAGAGGGCCCCATGACGGCCCAAATGGCCTCCAAGATGGCCCCAAGAGGGCCCCAATACGGCCCAAGAGGCCTCCAACACGCCCAAGATGGCCTCCGAGACGCCCAAGATGGCCTCTAAGACGGCCCCGAAGCGCCCCAAGAGGGTCCCCCATTGGCCCAGAAAGGCCCCCAAGACGGCTCCCGACGGCGTCAGAGGTGCCAGGAACCCACCAAGATGGCCGAAGTTGGCTCGAAGCTGGCCCAAGACGGCCCAAGAGGCCCCCAAGAGGGCCTCCAGGAAGGCCAGAAGAGGACAAAAACATTGATTTTCCTAAGGTTTTTGACGGATTTGACATTTCCTTATTTTTGGGCCTTCCAACGGCTCGAGACGGCCCAAGAGCACCCAAAGATCGCCGAAAGATCGCCCAAGAGGCCTCCAAGACGGCCAAGATGACCTTCAAGATGCCCACGTGTTCCCCGAAGGCTTTCCAAATCGATTCGGGGAACACATGGTCCGATGGCTTGGCAGGTCTGGCCTCAACGTTCGGCCACATAGGCGCTTCCAAAAAGGCAGGGAGCGGCGGTGATTCGCCGTAGGCGTCTTCGATCCGCCGCCCCCTGTTGGCTTGCCACAGGGGTGCCTGGCGTGCTAGATGATTGTGGTTTTGGTTTTGGTTCCTTCCCCAAAAAACTCCCCCTGGGGCTTCGGCCCGTCCCGCCGGGGTCCCGGGAAGGATCTCAAAACGCGTCCGTCGATGCATTTGTTGCCCCAAGTTGGCCCAAGATGGCCTGCAAGACAGCCAAGATGGCCCAGGATGGCCTCCAAGTTCGCCCAATATGGTCCAAGATGGCCTCCAAGACGGCCCAAGAGAGGAGGAGATGCCCCCAAGTCCGCCCAAGAAACCTCCAAGATGGCCCAAGACGGCCCTTAAGAGGCCTCCAAGACGGCCCAAGGCCCAAGAGGCCTCCGAGAGCTCCTCCAGGAGGCCCGAAGAAGCTAAAAGCATTGGTTTTCCTTGGGCTTTTCAAGTTGTTTCGTATTTGCTCCTTTTCGGCTTTCCGACGACCCAAGACGGCACAAGAGGCCCTCAAGATCGCCCCCAGAGCGCCCAAGAGGCCTCCAAGTTGGGCTCAGGACTGCCCAAGAGGCCCCCAAGACGGCCCCAAGAGGGCACAAAGACGACCCAAGCGGCTTCCAAGACACCCAAGATGGCCTCTAAGACGGCCCTGGAGCACCCCAAGAGGGCACCAAGTCGGCCCAGAGAGGCCCCCCAGACGGCTTCCGACGGCGTCAGACGGGCCAGGAGCCCACCAAGATGGCCGAAGTTGGCTCGAAGCTGGCCCAAGACGGCCCAAGAGGCCTCCAAGAGGGCCTCCAGGAGGGCCCGAAGAGGCTAAAAACAGTGAGTTTCCAAACGTTTTCGAAGGATTTTGACATTTGCTTCTTTTCGACCTTCGGACGGCCCGAGACGGCCCAAGAGCCCCAAAGATCGCCCAACGATCGCCCAAGAGGCCTCCAAGATGGCCCTAGAACGGCCCAAGAGGCCTCCAAGACGGCTCCAAGAGACCCCCAAGACGGGCCAGGAGGCCTTTAAGCACGCAAGATGGCCTTCAACGCGGCCCTGGAGGATTCTAAGAGGGCCCCAGGTCGGCCCAGAGAGGCCCCCCAGACGGCCGAAGATGGCCCTAAGATGGCCCAAGACGGCCCAAGAGACCTGCAAGGGGGTCTCCAGGAAGGCCCCTCAAAGGCCAAAATCATTGATTTCCCATGAGTTTGGGAAGTATTGTGGCACTTTTTTTTGGTTTGCCTTCCGACGGCCCGAGACGGTCCAAGTGCCCCCAAAGATCGCCCAAGAGGCCCAAGACGGCCCTAAGAGGCCCCCAAGACGACCCAAGAGGCCTCCAAGACGCCCGGGACTCTTCCTCCTCATCTCCTCCTCCTTATGTCCCTCTTCCTTCTCCTCCTCCTTCTTGCTTCTCCTCCTCCTCCTCCTCCTCCTGATCTTTCCCGCCATCTTCCCAGAAGTGTTCCCCAAAGGTTTTCCACAACGGTCGGGGGAACACATGGTCCGACCGCTCGGCAGAGCTCTTGCCGCAACGCTCGGACACATGATCGCTTTCAAAACTCTTGCTCCCCCACGCGTTCCCCGAAGGCTCTCCAAACCGACTCGGGGAACAACTGGCCCGCTAGCTTGGCCAGGTTCTAGCCCAGCTGTCAGCCACACAAGCGCTTCCACAAGGGCAGGGGGCGGCGGTGATTCGCCGTAGGCGTCTTCGATCCGCCGCCCCCTGTTGGCTTGCCACAGGGGTGCCTGGCGTGCTAGATGATTTCGGTTTTGGTTTTGGTTCTTTTCCAAAAGAACTCCCCCCGGGGCTCCGGCGCGTCCCGCCGGCCACCCCGAAGACCCCGTTGCAAAAGATTTCCCTGCCCCAGACGGCCCCAAGATGGCCCAAGATGGCCTACAAGACGGCCAAGATGGCCCCAAGATACCTCCAAGACGGCCCAAGATGCACCCAAGACGGCCTCAGATGGCCTCGAGATGACGGCCCAAGAGGCCCCCAAGAGGCCTCCAAGACAGCCCAAGAGGCCTCCAAGAGCTCCTCCAGGAGGGCCAGAAGAGGTCAAAATCATTGCTTTTCCTCAGGTTTTTGAAAGATTGTAGCATTTGCTTCTTTCCGGCCTTCCGACGGCTCAAGACGGCCTAAGAGACCCCGACGATCGCCCCAAGATCGCCCACGAGGCCTCAAAGATGGCCCCATGACGGCCCAAGAGGCCCCCAACACGGCCCCAAGAGGGCCCCAAGACGGGCCAAGAGGCCTCCAAGACACCCAAGATGGCCTCTAAGACGGCCCCGAAGCGCCCCAAGAGGGCCCCAAGTCGGCCCAGAAAGGCCCCCAAGACGGCTCCCGACGGCGTCAGGCGTGCCAGGTACCCCCCAAGATGGCCGAAGATGGCCCTAAGATGGCCCAAGACGGCCCAAGAGGCCTCCAAGAGGGCCTCCAGGAAGGCCCGAAAAGGCCCAAATCATTGATGTCCCATAAGTTTTATTTTTAGCTCCAGGAGCGCTGATATCGCCGTGCCTAGGGGAAAAAAAAATGATTTC